AAAGACATCACCGTCAAGACCAGCAGCCTCTACGTCGGCCACCAGGCGTGCACAGCTACTGCGCCGCTACCCCACCGTCCTGCAGCTGCCTGGAGGCCAGTAAGCGGCTGGCATGGTGCAGGCGCCATCCTGCATTTTCTGTCCCGTCTCCCAAATAAAGAGCATGTTAGCTTTCTGCACAGCGCGTGTGCGCCAGTGGAGGGACACACAGGAAGGGGCTTTCTCTGTGCCCCTTCCACTGAGGAATTGAGGAATTCCTCAATTCCTCTGCCCAACTGGCCCCTCCCAGAGGGGCAGATCCTGACCCTGAAAGGTGGGCCCAGAAGCTTCCAGAACCTTCTCTCCAGCACAGGCTGTTCCAGAGAAAATGTCACCTCCTGTCACCGTGGAAGCCATGCCGTTTGTTAGGAGCTGCCGGTCACCACGGCGACAACCGGGGCCGGCTCTCATTCTTTGGGGCCATTAAAATTCACTCGGGTGCTGTTGCCATGGGGTCTTCGCAGCCAGGAGAGAGAAGAGGACCTGGCGTGGAGCCTCACCCGGGGGGCTGCAGGCAGCTCATGTCCTGTGCACACAGCCCCTCAAAGCTGCTCAAGGGCACCAGACGGTCTGGGGCGGTGACCCCCCGGGGGGGGACAAGGAACCGCCTCTCTGCAGTCCCCCTGGCACGGGGGCCTGGAGCCAGGCAGAAGCTGGTGAACTCAAAGGCCCCTGAGCCTGGGTAGGGGCTTCACTCCCTGCCGCCTGGGACACCACGGCCAGGGAGGGGAGGGTGTGGGTGAGCGGCGGCTGCAGAGCCCCATGCCTGCTGCGGGAGGGGTGGCCGGGCACTGCCCCATCCTGCATCCAGGGCTCTGGGTGGAGCTCAGACCCGGTGCCAGCCTCCGTGGGTGTAAGGTCCCTGTGCCGTGCCCACTCCAGCCCCACAGGGAGCTGCTGGCTGCTGTCGCCTCCCACGTGGCGGCTCGTCACGCATTCTCGGCCAGTGGCCATTAAGAGGCTTGGGAGATAATGGTCCCTCCACGCCGGCCCCTGCACTCAGGCCTCATTATCACCCAGACCCAGGCAGCACTCAGGCCTGTCAGGTCCTCGTCAGGCTGAGGCCCCCCTGTCCCCTCTGGGAGGGGGTGGCTTATGGGGAGCCGAGGGCCGGGGGAGGGGGAGGGGCCTGGAAGGAGTCTCCGAGGCCGGCTGGTGGCACCAGGCTGGGAACACAGAGCCAGGTGCTGTTCTGAGCACGAGGCAGGTTCCAACTTTGGGCCTCACGTGCACTTTACAGCTGGGGAGACAGCCCAGGGGTCCCTGCGCCTGCGCCCACTGTGCTCCCACGCCAGGGCCAGGCTGATGACTGCAGCCTGAAGATGGGCGCGACTCCCGGGCTGGAGAGGGGCCAACACCCCCGCCCCCAATTTCCTGACCTCCCCACTCCCACACGCGCAGGGAGACTGCAGACTACCGGACTGGGGCACGCAGGGGCCGCCCACTTTGTGCTGAAAAAGGAGCCCCAGACTTTCGCAGTCTAACAGTAAAATCCTGAACCCCATGGATGGAGCCCTCTCCGTTTTCTGGGTGCACCCCAAACGCCTTCCTTTAGAAAGACTGGCCACCCCCTCGGGGGCCAAGTGAGCGCCTGCATCCAGGAGCCCCCAGTCTGCACAGCAGGGAGCTGAAGGCTGGGGGCGGGGGTGGAGTCGGGGGTCTTGTTGAGACCCCTCCCCTGGCACCCCCACCTGCACCTCACTGGCACAAGCGCCCTGCAGCACGGAGAGGGGGCGGCCCTCCTGGGACCCGCCTGGGACACTGCTGGGTGTCTGTGGGGGGCGGGCCCCAGGGTGCCCAGCGGCAGCCGCTCCCCCGTCGCCACGGCAATGCCGCGGTCGTGCCTGGCCAGGGCTATTTCTGTCCAGGAGACGTGCTGTCCTGCCCCACTGAGTCACCCTCCGCGCTCCCTGCCCACCCCACTCAGGCCCGGCCTCCAGCTTCTGTGCCACAGTGGTTCGGGCATCGGCCCCGCCAGCCGCCTGCCCAGACGGACTCTCCCCAGGCCGGGTCATCCCAGGCCACCCGAACCTGAAGGACCCCAAGGCACCCTTCCCGGGCTGTTCACCCACCCCTCAACCTCCTTCCACCCCGCCCTGTGCTTGAGGAGGCTCCAGGACCTGCCCCCAACAAGGGGGACTGTCAGGAACACCCATCTGTTTTTGGGGGGCAGTTCTGCTGGTGTCGGGGGGCACTGAAGGGCACAGGGAGGGGACTCAGGTTCTCTGTGTCTGGGCCTCAGGGATGCTCTGGACACTTCTGAGCTCCACGGGTGCCCATTTCACGTGAGTGGAGGCTAAGCTCAGACCCAGGCTGCAGTGGAGTGTTGGCGTCTGCCCATCTTTCTCCACCAGCCCCAGGAGCCCCGCTCTGTCCCACTGGGACGCACCTGCAGAGCTGTGTTCTCGCCACCCAGGTCACAGCTATGCAGAGCTGGCTCCGTGGGCTGCAGGCGCCATAGTCACAGGGTCTCAGGTCTTCACACCCCATCTGTGCCGCCACAGCCAACAGGGTGAAGATGGCTGTCCCCAGGGGGGGCTGCTGGGCCTGGTGGGTGCCGCTGCCAAGGGTGAGCTGTCACCGCCCAGGCCCAGCTGGAGGGGGCGCCTGGAACCGGCCACGGTTGGTGCAGCCCCCACCACAGCCCTCCCCAGCCCCTGCTGCCCGGAGCCTGGCACACGAACCCCCACGGGGGGGACCCCTTGGTCTCCCCTCGCCTCCTGTCCTCCTTTCCTCCTTCGTCTTTAGCATGGGGGTGCTGAGGGTCAGGCCAAGCTGAGGGGCTGCGGGGAGAGCGGGACCCCAGGCCGCACACGAATCTGCCAAGGGGGCTGAGCCAGCTCGGGGCGTCTCCCCGCCTGCAGTCTGCTTTCGGGCAAGGCTGTCACAATTCTCCCACCACATCCAGCGCCTCCTGCAACAGGGACCAGCTTGTGGAGGGAGGACCCGTGGGGAATGGCCGCGTGTCTGTGTCCAGAGGCCCAGGGTCGGAGCAGGACGCGGCCAGGGCGCTGTGTGGCTTGGCCTGGGGCCTGTAGAGAATGGAGCCCCCGCCCGCTGAGGCCTAGGAGTCATTCCCGCAAGTGGTCCGGCCCAGTCCTTATCTGCCGAGAGGCAGGGCTGGTGCGGGGCCTCCCCAGGGGTGTCATGAGGGACTGAAGAGACCCCACGGAGCCTGGGCAGACTGCGCTCCTGGGCTCCGTCCAGCCTGGCCTGCCCGCCAGCAGGATGAGGGCTGTGTGTCACCGGGGGCCTGGTGGCCAGGAGGGCCCCGTGCAGCATGGAGGCCTTGGTCTGGGCCCAAAAACTGGCCTTGGCCCACAGCCCCCTTGCCAGGCCCGCCCAACCGCAGCTTCCACCTCCCTGCTTCTCCTCAGGGCGCCGCACCCCAGGCGGGCAGCAAGCTTGGTTTCCTGATGGAGGAGAGCCGCGTGCCCACGGCACCATCCCACGACCCAGCCGGCCAAGATGCCGGGCCCCAGCCCCACTCATGGGCATGAGGCCGGCGGGAGGACCCTGGGGCCGCGACGCAGGCTTCACAGTGGACGTGGGGCCCTGCCAGCACCCTGTCCGGAGCGCGGCGGAGCTGGCCTCTCAGCCTGTTGGTCTTGGACGGCCCAGAGGAAGCCACAGGCGCCCGGGCGGGCATGAAAGGGCTCTTTGACGGCTGGGTTGCCGGGACAGTAACGCAGATGGCCGACCAGGCAGGGAGCATCCCTGAATCCCTGAGACGGTAACAGGGGGCGCGGGGCCTGGGGTGGTCGTGGGGGTCTTCACAGCCGCCCTGGGCGAGCTGGGCTCCCCCTGAATCCCAGCGGAGCGGGATCCAGCCCCGATTGTCTGCCAGGCAGGGCCAGGGGCTGGGACGACCGGGAACTCTGTGGGGGCTCCTGCAGGCCTCCGTCCGTGGACACACCCACTCCTGCCAGGCTCCCTCCGCTGGAGGAGTCCGGGGGTCTTGTGGTGTCCAGTGGGGCCAGGGGGTGAGTCAGGGTCTGCTGAGCTTGCAGGGAGGCAGGCAGAGGGGGTCTCAACACCCAGAGACTTTCCACCCACCTGGAATGGCCCACTGCAAGAGGAAGGACCTTGCCCTGTGCTGCAATCCCAGAGGGCTTCCTGAAGGAGGCAGCCTAGATCTTTGTCCAGCAGAGCCCATCTTCAGGGAAGATTGAGGACCCTGACCTGGTGCACCTCCCCTAGCAGAAGATACTCCTGGCCAAGCCTCCAGATGTGGCTGTGAGGGGAGTGGGGTAGGCAAGGCCCACCTGGCAGGGGGCAAAACTGAGACCGGCTTGTTGAGGCAGCTGCTGGTAGAGTCGGGAGGGGGGTCCACCTTGCTCATGGGGACCCAAGCTGGCTCTGGCTCCCCCTCAGCACCAAGGTAGGACCATCCTTCCCTAGTCTGGGGGAGGCAGAGGGGTGGTCTCCCAAGGCCCCTGCAGGCCCTGCCCTGAGGGCTCTGGACGAGAGGCTCTCTGGGCCCGGCTGAGACTGTGCCTCCATGCACTGTGCAGGGACCCCCGCTCCAGGCCAGCTTTGGGGGGCCTTTCCCTGGAGCAGGCCAGCCGCCATGCCCCAGGGCTCTGCCCAGTCAGAGGGTGGGGCCTTGGGTGGCCACCCGCTCCTGAGTTTAGAGGGCTGTCTCAGAGACCTCTGTGTCCCGTAATGGCTTCTTTTCCATCTGCTGGGTGTGGGGGCCCCAGCTTTAGGGACCAGGACTCCCCGACTCCAGGTGTGCAGGAGGCCTGCTGCAGCCCAGAGTGCAGCAGCCCCTGAGCCCCGGCCTTGGCCTCACCCACTGGGCCAGGACCGTCCGTGTCCACACAGAAGCTCCCGCCTCCACTGGCTGTATTCCCAATGGGGGCAGGGTGGGGCTGGGCTGCCGCAGGGTCTGGGGGCTCCAGCTGGGGCACCTCCTTCTAAGTCCTTCCCCTCTTCCTTCTCCCCCAGCCCTGGCCGAGATGGCAGCTCCCACCCTGCTGCTCCTGGCACTGCTGTTGCCCGCAGGGGCCTGGCCTGGGCTGCCCAGGAGGCCCTGTGTGCACTGCTGCCGCCCGGCCTGGCCCCCCGGACCCTATGCCCGGGTGAGTGACGGGGACCCGTGGAGGAGCCTGCCTCGAGTGCGGCCCACCATAGACATTGAAATCCTCAAAGGTGAGGCCCGTGGGTGCTGCCTGCATGTTCCCCCACCAGGACCCAAAAGTCCACAGGGAGTGGGAGGGGACCTGGGGCTCGGGAGGAGGGTGGGAGGGGAGGCTGAGCCCCACTCTCTGTCCTGGCAGCACTCCCTGCCCAGGGACCCCTGGGCTCCCCCCTCAAGCAGGAAGAAGCCTGGCTTGGGAAGGGGCCCACGATCCAAAGTGGGGTGCGAGGACCCTGGGGAGGGACCAGGGTTCCTGAGATCCCCAAAGTAGCAGCCCCTTGGGAAGGGAGACTGGGCGGCCCGCTTGCTCTGAGACCTCTTGACAAGGCTGCGCTGTCCCGAAGGCTGGACAGCAGGCCATACTAAGGTTAGACTTGGGTAGGAACTTCCCGGCCTTCTCATTCTTTAACACCCAACCCAGACCGTAGCTGGCCCTGACCACCATGTCCCACCCTCTCAGTGGGGACGGCCTTGTCACAGGCCTTGGTCCAGCCACACCTTTGGAGAATGGCTTCACCCCATCTTACAGAAGTGGACACGGAGGCTGGGACAGGGGCCGTCACTTGCAAAGACTGTGTCCTTACAGTGACCCTTGAGCCCCAGCCCGGGTGCCTGGAATCGGGGAGGCCTGCCCAGCCCGGCCCGACCCGCGGCTTCCGCTTGTTCCCCGCAGGTGAGAAGGGCGAGGCCGGCGTCCGAGGTCGTGCCGGCAGGAGCGGGAAGGAGGGACCGCCGGGCGCCCGGGGCCTGCAGGGCCGGAAAGGCCAGAAGGGGCAGGTGGGGCCGCCGGGAGCCCCGTGCCAGCGCGCCTACGCGGCCTTCTCCGTGGGCCGGCGCGAGGGCCTGCACAGCTCCGACGACTTCCAGGCGGTGCCCTTCGACACGGAGCTGGTGAACCTGGACGGCGCCTTCGACCTGGCCGCGGGTCGCTTCCTCTGCACGGTGCCCGGCGTCTACTTCCTCAGCCTCAACGTGCACACCTGGAACTACAAGGAGACCTACCTGCACATCATGCTGAACCGGCGGCCCGCGGCCGTGCTCTACGCGCAGCCCAGCGAGCGCAGCGTCATGCAGGCCCAGAGCCTGATGCTGCCTCTGGCCGCGGGCGACGCCGTCTGGGTGCGCATGTTCCAGCGCGAGCAGGACAACGCCGTCTACGGCGAGCGCGGAGACCTCTACATCACCTTCAGTGGCCACCTGGTCAAGCCGGCCGCCGAGCTGTAGCCGGGTGAGGGGCCCGCAGCTGAGCCCCGCAGCCTGAGTGCTGGGGGGGTGGGGGGGCAGCAGAGCTTCAGCGCCGACTGTGTGCAGGGATTGGTTGAGCGCCCACTGTGTGCAGGGATTGGTTGAGCGCCTACTGTGTGCAGGGATTGATTGAGCGCCGACTGTGTGCAGTGATTGGTTGAGCGCCGACTGTGTGCGACTGTGTGCAGTGATTGGTTGAGCGCCACTGTGTGCAGGCTGAGCGCCACTGTGTGTGCAGTGGGATTGGTTGAGCTCCCAACTGTGTGGTGATCGAGGCCGACTGTGTGTGGTGGATTAAGGAGCGCCACTGTGTGCAGGATTGCTGAGCGCGACTGTGTGCAGGATTGCTGAGTGGCGACTGTGTGCAGGGATTGCTGAGCGCCCGACTGTGTGCAGTGATTGGTTGAGCGCCGACTGTGTGCAGTGATTGAGCGCTGTGTGCAGTGATTGGTTGAGCCCCAACTGTGTGCAGAGTGACTGAGTGCCGACTGTGTGCAGGGATTGGTTGAGCGCCGACTGTGTGCAGTGATTGAGTGCCGACTGTGTGCAGGGATTGGTTGAGCGCCCACTGTGTGCAGGGATTGGTTGAGCGCCCACTGTGTGCAGGGATTGGTTGCGCCCTGTGTGCAGGGATTGGTTGAGTGCCCACTGTGTGCAGGGATTGGTTGAGCGTCGACTGTGTGCAGGGATTGGTTGAGCGTCGACTGTGTGCAGGGATTGGTTGAGCGCTGACTGTGTGCAGGGATTGGTTGAGCGCCGACTGTGTGCAGTGATTGGTTGAGCGCCGACTGTGTGCAGGGACTGGGCTATGTGGAGTGCTGGGTGTGGTGGGAGCAAGTCTGACCCGCACCTGCCCTCACAGGGGCTGGCACACAGGAAGCCACGTGGATGGAGGCCTGCGGTGCTGAGTGTGCCGTGGGTGGGGCCGGGTGGTAGAGCTAGCCGGGTGCCTCCACATGGGATGTTGGGAGCCTGGTTGCTCACCCAGGTACTTGTCCTCACGGCCGAGGGGCCATTCTGCTTATAAAAGCTGTGCCAGGCACCCCTGCTGTGGCGATATTCATTCGACTTTGGGTATTTGCCAAGCACCTGACAGGTGTAGCGGGACCCGGGGGAGGCCAAAAGAGTCGAAGGAAGACGGTAACTTCCTGGCAGTGTTAGGGGCACCCAGCACTCACAGTGGCCGGGCGGGTGGGGCTGGCCTGGCAGAGGCTTGTCCTTGGCAAGAAACACGTGGCTGAGCGCGGGGGTGCCAGTTTTGGGGGCTCACGGGTCCCCAATCTGTCTGAATGGGTGGGGGCTGGAGAAAGATTGGACCCTGATGGGCACCAGAGCCGGGGGGAACTTCAGACCCCCACGGAGTCGCCTCATGCTTAGACAGGGATGAAAGTCGGGTCCACATGGCCTGGCTGCAGTTGTGGGGGCAGAGAGGGCCCTGTTTGGGAGTGTGGGTGCGTCGGTACCTCCAGGCAAGGGTCTGGCCCAGCTATGGTCACTGGAAGCCTCTGTTACCCTCACCAGCTGGAACAGCTGTGGCCACTCCCGGAAGCCCTCCCGGCCACGTGCTCACTTGTCTCTGGAACCACCTCAACCCGGCCTGGGCCTCCCTCCCCCTCTTCCTAGCCCCTCTAGCCTGGCCGCCCACCCACTGCCTCCTCCTCCTCGGTATGCTGTCTGTGGCGGCGTGGCCACTGGGCCCTGGCAGCCACAGCATCAGGAGTCACCGGCCTCAGCCATGCTGCCTGGAACCCTCACAAGGCCGTCCACAAAGCATCCCCGGGTGGGGGCAGGAGAGCCCCCACAGAGGCACCAAGAGTGGGCTCGTGGGGGTCTGGAACAGATGCAGGGTCCCAGGTGCCCCCACGGCCCCTTGATCCTTGTCCACCCTGGGACGTCCAGACCCACGGAGTGCCCAGCTCGCCCGTCCCCCTCTTCAGGAACTGCCCTGCCGACACGCCCTCCCCATAGGGGCCCCCACTAGTCCTGACCAATTTCTGAGCAGCTAGGTCCACAGCCTGCCCCGGGAGCGTCTGTGAGGGGACAGTCCCCCACATCAGGGTGCACCCTGCAGGGTGGGGCCGGCTGAGGAGAGAGGTAGGAGGGCAGGGGCTGCAGCCCCTAGGGCAGGGGGACCTTGTCTGTCCATCTGGCAGCACACACTGGCTGGGAGGAAGCAGCCGGGAACAGTGACCCTCCCTGTCGCCACAGGGCCCCAGCCTGAGACTGCTCAGTCGTCCCCACTACCCGCCACTGGACCAGGCCTGGGGCAACCAGCAGTGGGGGTCGGGTGGAGGAACCGGGGGAGGAGGGGCGAGGGTGGCAGGAGATGGGGGTCGGGGCCATCTCCCACCACAGCCGCCGTTTTTGTGTGAAGACTCTGGAACTTCCAGGCCCACCCTCGGGAAATGCCATCCTCTCCTTATAGACAGATGTCTGCCTGTGGGGACCCTGGGAGCCCCAGCTGGCGCCCGCCTCTCCACCTCGCCTCACTCCTGTCCTGGGACAGAGGGTGCCCTGCCCTTGGGAGGTGATGCGCTGAGGCCCGGCCAGAGTCTGCAGAACCCACGTGTGTGTGTGCTGGGAGCCACTCCCCAGGCAGGCGGGGGACCAAGCGTGGCCCTCAACAGCACAGGACAGGAGGAGGGTCATCTACGGGGACCCCCATTTGCTGTGCACACATGGCCCCTCTGCAGGGAGATGGGCTCTGTCCTGGCCGCGCCACCCGCCCACTGCCCAAGCCTTGCTGCCTCCCCAGTCCCCCGGCATCCACCTTTTCCCCTGAGGCTGTCGCTGGGGCCAGGCTGCCCCGCAGCACCCCCATGTGGCCCCGTACTCAAGTCCCACCTTGTGTGTCTGTGGGGGGTGGTAGCAGGGCTCCTGGGTGTGGTGACAACCACGGACGGGGGCGCTGGGGCCAGTGGCCGGGGCTGGTGAACTCTGGCCCTGCTAGACGGGGGGGGGCACTGGCGCTAGGGCTGGCCTGGGAACCTTCCCTCTCCTCTGCCCCACACTGAGGTGGGCGGTGCCTTAGGCTGCACTTTGGCCCCAAGCCTGAGTCCCCTCCTGGCTGGAATAGCAGGACACACCCAGGGCGCCTGGCAACCGGCAGGGGTCGGAGCCATCTCCAGGCACTCATGGGGCCTTGGCACAGAGGCTTCTGCCTTAGAGATAAAGGCGCCCGAACAGGAAGGGGCGGGCTGAGGGAAGATTGGCAGACCCCAGGCCTCCCACCCCGACCTGGACACCCCCAGCCCTACCCCATTTGCTGAGGGGCCAGGAGAGAAGCCCACAGCCAGGTCCTGGCTGCAGCAGCAGGGCGCCTGGTCAGCACTCTGGGGAGCCGGTGGAGCCTTGTGCTCACTCAGCCCCTTCCGAAGTGAGGACACCCAGTGCCACGCGGGCAGAGCCGGGCTGCAGCCACGTCCCACCCACCCCACACAGAGCCCGTGTCCCTGCCAGCTCTGCCTGTGGCCTCAGGTCCTGTGCAGCAGCGGGGGTGCAAAGACCTCTGTCAGGGACCCCGGAGCAGCTGTCAGGGGCCCTGGGCTTGCAGGTCGAAAGTGGGTACTGCCCAGAGCCGAGCCCTGGGTGTCCAGACCCGGGAGGACTGGGGCCGAGCCGTGGGTGTCCCGGAGGACTGGGGCCGAGCCCTGGGTGTCCCGGAGGACTGGGGCCGAGAGTCCTCTCCTGGCTGGAACAAATAGCAGGACATGCACTCCAGGGCGCCCAAGGCAACCGCAGGGGTCGGAGCCATCTCCAGGTGCACTCATGGGGCCTTGGCACAGAGGCTTGCTGCCTTAGAGATAAAGGCGCCCGAACAGGAAGGGGCGGGCTGAGGGGAAGATTGGCACCCCAGGCCTTCCCACTCACCTGACACCCCCAGCCCTACCCCATTTGCTGAGGGGCCAGGAGAGAAGCCCACAGCCATGTGTCCTGGCTGCAGCAGCAGGGCGCCTGGTCAGCACTCTGGGGAGCCGTGGTGAGCCTTGTGCTCACTCAGCCCCTTCCGAAGTGAGGACACCCAGTGCCACGCGGCAGAGCCGGCTGCAGCCACGTCCCACCCACCTCCACACAGAGCCTCGTGTCCCTGCCAGCTCTGCCTGTGGCCTCAGGTCCCGTGCAGCAGCGGTGCAAAGATTCCTCTGCCGACCCCCGAGCAGCTGTCAGGGGCCCTTGGGCTTGCAGGTCAAAGTGGTACTGCCCAGAGCCGAGCCCTGGGTGTCCAGACCCGGGAGGACTGGGGCCGAGCCCTGGGTGTCCCGGGAGGACTGGGGCCGAGCCCTGGGTGTCCAGACCGGGAGGACTGGGGTCGAGCCCTGGGGTGTCCCGAGGACTGGGGCCGAGCCCTGGGTATCTCGGAGGATCAGCTTGCCCGGTGTCCAGACTCAGGAGGACTGGGGCCGAGTCCTGGGTATCCCGGGAGGACTGGGGGCCGAGCCTGGGTGTTGACTGCACAGCTCCAGGGATTCCTGCTGGGGGATCTCAGGAGGAGCCTGTTGGGGCTGGCGGTGGCAGGTGCTTGAAGAACCAGAGGTGGGGGTATGGGCTGCTGGGGGTTGGGGTCCTGGCTGGCCATGCAAAGGTTCCTGGCCCCGGTGAGAGAGCAGGGCTGGCTGGGAGGATGGGAGCCAGGTCCGGACTACTCGGGCCGAGGACATTTCCACGGCAGGCTGCCTGTTCTGCACTGGGGAAGCCCTCCAGAATCCCAGACAACCATTCCCTTCCCTGGCCCTGGCCCAGCTGCCCCGGGGTCTCCAGCCTCTGTGATTCCAGAGAACTCCAGCTGCCGCGGTGGCAGGTGGTCCTGAGGAAGAGAGTCTCGAAGACACTGGCCCTGTACCAGGGAGCTCAGAAGGTGCGTGTGTCACCAGATCCAGCCAAGAACCTGGATGTGACCACAGCAGGCCCGAGGCCAGCCACCTGTTCCGAGGACAGGCTGGACTCTCCCAGCACAGGTGGCGTCGCCATGGCCTGTGGGCAGTTGCAGCCGCTGGGACGTTAAGAAGCCAGAGCAAGGGTCAGGCGGGCAGGGGTGCCAGGTCTCTTGGAAGCTGGCAGGGGTGTTCCAATGAACGCCAGTGGCGATCCGGGTTCTGGGGAGAGCCGGGGTGGGGAGACGCCATGAGAGCCTCAGACAGCAGGACCTGTATCCCGCCGACCTTCCAGGCTT